GCATGTAATATCATACAAGAACCTTGCTTCTAGAAATATGCAACTCTATTACGAACAACTCGAATAAATATTTCAAGATTCTCATCGAAGTAATCCTGTTGTTTATGCAAAGAAATCTCGAAACAACTTGCAATGCTATTAATTTTTAAATTTAACAACGTTTCATGAAGTATTTTTCAGTTTTGTGAAGCGTACTGTTCAAATTTAACTATTTAAATAACTTGAGATAATAATTAATTATTGAGAAGACTCAATAGAAATTTTTTACATTATAATATATATATAATTAATTGTGAAAAAGAATATGTAAGTTCTTTAGATACAAATTTATTGAATTTTTCTTAAAATTTATATACATTCAATGTATATAAATTCACTGCACGTACACACGCATCACGCGATAGTTCCATAAAAAAAAAAATCTACAAACAATTTTCAAAAGAATCCAACGAAATTGTGTCATCCGTGGATTCGGAGGACACGTTTTGCAGTGAAGCGCACGTCGATGACACCGGCTCGCGGACGAAACAAAGTAAACAGGAGAACAAGGAAAACCGAATAAAACTTGTTTCATTCATTACAACATTTCTCGAGTCGGCCTGGTCCCGCGTGTGCTCTCTAATTTGCCACCCCACGTCGATCCACCCCCTAAGAGCCCTTTCGTCGTGCGCGCGAGCATCAAGCTAAAATCGAAACGGGTCGCGGCGCGTGTATTTGTGAAACGTGATTCGCTCTCGTTCGTGCACGTCGAGTGAAATCAAAGGGAGGGGGAATATATATCGATGCCAGGGCTGTAAATCAGTGGTATGAGAGTGGGAATACGTAGGCGTGCAGAAGGGATGAAATGCTGCAATACGAATGCTAGCAAAGGTATTAACCCCAAAATTGAGTGGCTGTGGCCTTCTGCACGGAACGAGTGCTATCGGTTCTTCATTCTCCTCGATCTCTTCATTCCAGTAACCTCTTTGGAATTAATGTTGTAAGGGATACTTCTGTGATGAAGTTATAAAGTATATTAATTAGGAAGAAGTCAAAATTTTGATCATTATTATGATAATATTGATAATATGATAATATGATAATATTGTTTGATTCTTACCATAATTAAGTTCAATCCTTAAGGAATGTATTCTGAAAATCAAAATGTTGAATTATTAAAAATAGAGTAATTAAATACTTATGAAGTAAAAAAAAGTATTAATAATACAAAAGTTAAACTACAATATCAAATTCTATATAATAATATATCTATAATATTACATACTTTTTTTATGATATTTAATATCAGACTGATGTTATGACTGATTTGTCTAATAACTCAATAAAAGCTTTCTGATTACCTAGAATCATCAATTTTTTATTTATTTCAATCATGTAAAAATAATACATTTTATTTCAAAATTTTTATAACTCTTATAATGATCCATCGATTAAAAATATAATAATTAAACACGTGATAATTAAATAAAAGTACTAATAGCACACAAATTATACTACAATATCAAATTCCACAAAATTATATATCTATTACGAGACGACATATTTTTCCTTCGATTCCTGACAGTAGACTCACGCTATACAATTAATTTTTCTTACCATTAAATATTAGAAGCTTCCTGATTGGCTAAAATCACTTAACCTATTCAAATCGACTACCTAAAAATTATACAATTTATTTCTAAATTTTTATAATTTTCACAATGATCCACATTAAAAATATAATAATAATAAATTGTTAATTAAACAAGAGTGTTATTAATATGCAAATTATACTACAATATTAAATTTCACAAAATTATATATGTTTAATGAGACAACACGCACCTCCTCTATGATTCGTGTCACTAGACTAACGTTACGTAATTGAATTTTCTACCACTAAAGTCAAGAAGCTTTCTGATTGGCTGGAATGGCTAATCTTATTTATGTCAATTGCTTGAAAATAATACAGATTTTATATTATTTTATTTATTTCAATTGCATAAAAATAATACAGTTATTATTAATCGGTATATCATTATAGGATTTAAAGAAATCCATAAATAAATTGTATTATTTTTATACAATTGCAATAAATAAGACAGGCCATTCCAACCAATCAGAAAGCTTCTTGACTTTAGTGGTAGACAAATCAATTACGTAACGTCAGTCTACTATCAGGAATCATAAAGAGAGTACGTGTCATTTCATTATAGATATATAGTTTTGTGAATTTGATATTATAATATAATTTGCATACTAATAATACTTTTGTTTAATTAACACGCGTGTTATTATTATATTTTTAATCAGTCGATCATTGTGAGAGTTATAAAAATTTAGAAATAAATTGTATAATTTTTAGGCAGTCGATTTGAATAGGATAGGTTATTCTAGCAAATCAGGAAGCTTCTAAAATTTAATAGTTAAATAAATTAATTGCACAGTGTGATTCTACTGTCAAGAATCGAAGGAAAAGTATGTATCGTTTTATTATAAATATTTAGATATTTAATTTTATGAATTTGATATTATAGTATAATTTCCGTATTAATAATATTCTTGTTTAATTAACATGCGTGTTATTCTTATATTTTTAATCGGTGAATCATTCTGAGAATTATAAAAATTTAGAAATAAATTGTATAATTTTTAAATAGTCGATTTGAATAGGATAGGTTATTCTAGCCAATCAGGAAGCTTGTAGAATTTAATGGTTAGACAAATTAATTGCATA